TTTTTTTTTTTTTTTTTTTGAGACATAGTCTTACTTTGTCAGCCCGGCTGGAGTGCGTAGCGGGATCCTAGCTCCTGCAACCTCCGCCTCCCAGGTTCAAGCAATTCTCCTGCTTCAGCCTCCTGAGTAGCTGGGATTACAGGCTTATACCACCAGCCAGTTATTTTTTGTATTTTTAGTAAAGATGGGGTTTCACCATGCTGGTTAGGCTGAACTCCTGATCTCAGGTGATCCACCTTCCTCAGCCTCCCAAAATGCTAGGATTACAGGAGCAAGAATGGAAGTCTGGCTTCCCTTCCTTTTAAAGACAGGATAAGAGGGCCGTCTGTGATGTGTGAGAATGTATCTGAAGGGCTGAGCCCGGTGCCCGGCGCTTACCTGGAGTGCTTGGCTCTGCTGGGGCCCCGGGGCAGCACCTGCTGATCTGCTGTACTCCCTCATCCCGGGTAAGGATGCCAGGAAGGGAGGTGACTTCCCCAGGAGTCAGGGCCAGGCCCCAGTGCGTACTGATGCCCCGCCCCACAGCAGTCAGAATAGGGCTGAGGCAGTGCTATGTGTCTCCTCAAACTCTAGTAATTATTTATTCTTATGATAGTGGCATTCACAGGGCATACAATTACCCAGTTTGGATTCAATGGCTTTTAGTACATGGCAACGTTGTGCCACTTCCACCTCAGTCTAGTTTCAGAACGTTTCACCACCCGTAACAGAAACCCCACGCCCACTCCGCGGTCACTCCTCGCTTCCCCTCCCGAGGCCTGAGTCTGCTTTCTGTCTCTGTAGATTTCCTTAGTCTAGCTCTTCGCAGAAATGGAACCATGTGATACGTATTGATTGTGTCGGGCTTCCTCCTGCTAACGTAATCTATTCAGGGTTCACCTGCATTGCAGCCTGGACCTAGACCTCCTCCCTTTTCAAGGCTCAGTCATTTCCCGTGTGTGGGCGAAGCACATTTTCTTTACTCATTCATTTCGTTCATTCATCAAACCCAAATTCTTTGAGTATCTAGTCCTGTTGAGTGGCAGTGAGGAAGAAACTGAGTTTCCATAAATCGGGGTGCTATCATAAACAGATTTGTTGTGATTTTCGCATCCACTTGCTGAGATAAAGCGGTGCTCTTTTTTTCTTTTTTCTTTTTTTTTTTTTTTTGAGATGGATTCTTGATGCCACCCAGGCTGGAGTACAGTGACTCAATCTTGGCTCACTACAATCTCCGCCTCCCAGATTCAAGCCATCCTCCTGCCTCAGCCTCCCAAGTAGCTGAGATTACAGGCATGCACCACCACGCCCAGCTAATTTTTTTTTTTTTGTATTTTTAGTAGAGACAGGGTTTCACCGTGTTGGCCAGGCTGGTCTCGAACTCCTGACCTTAAGTGATCTGCCTGCCTCAGTCTCCCAAAGTGCTGGGATTACAGGCATGAGCCCCTGTGCCTGGCTAATAGAACAGGTGCTCTCGTTCCTTTCATTCTAGTGTTCCAGTTTTCCTCAGGGTTTTTGCGGAACAGGTGTCTGCTTGGGAGATAGTCAGCATTCAACTTTTATGTAATAACACAGATCAGGTGCTCCTGGTGGACAGTGTGACCCAGAGTCAAGGATTTGGTGATGTTTTGAGCACCCGTATATGTGGTTTGGTGCCCGCTGAGCTGCCCTCAGGCACTGCTTCTTGGAGCCAGCGCCCAGCCTCTCCTCATCTTTCTCCAGCTGCACCAGGAGGCCAGAGCCGCCCTGACCCAGGCTTCCTCGTCAGTCCGGGCTGCCACAGTGACCGTCATGGGGGCCAGGACTCTGCTGGCCGACCTGGAAGGTACGTGTGTCTGGCTGACCACTAGGCTCTGTGATACACAAATGCCCCTGACAGCCACTCAGCTGTCGCCTCGGCCAGGGCAGGCTTGCAGAGGACAGGAGTCTGGTCTTGTGGGCTTCATTAAGCCAAGTGGACTGTTCCCTCCACCTCTCAGGATCCCGCCCCCTCTCATAGACCACTCACCTAGGACCTGCCCATGTGGCTCTCCCATACACCCTGATCATCAGACCACATGCAGAGCCCTCAAGACCCAGCAGGAGGAGACGCTGACGTCATTGGCTGCCCACCGAGGTCAAGTCCGCTCTGGCCCGGGCACCAGTTAGTTACCTGGTACAAATATGGCTGTCCTGGTCCAATGCTGAGTTGGGGCTATGGGAAGGGTGAAGTTTCTCTCTGGAAGGGGCTATGGGTTCATGCCAGTCCAGGCCTGTCTTGAGCCCTAGGAAAATAGGCCCAAGTGCCCCCATTTTGCAGATGGGTAGACTGAGGAAAGGAATTGCTATTCATCCCTGGGTCAGGGCTAAGCTGGGAATAGAAGCCAGCAAATACGATTCTGCAAGTGTCAGCCGTGTGATGAGCTTCTGTGATACCCAATTTGCTCCAGAGAGAAGCCCCCTCACCTTTATTTGTGACTCCTTATCCAATGGGCTAGATAAGGCAGGAGCGCACTCTGAACCCCCAGATGTTTCTTGGGGTCTGAGGCCAGAAGCCAGGCTTCTGCTGTTGTCTCGGTTCTGTGGCCTCCCTCCCAACCCTGCCCATGGCCCGGAAGAGATGGAGCTCTAGGTGTGGACCCAGCCCCCTCCGGGGCAGCGGGTGGGCTGGTCCGTGCCTCCTGATCCCCAGCTTCCTGAGGGCTTGAAGCCCTAGTCCCCCCCTTTTGGGGGCTTCCTATGGGGAAGGCGTGGCCACGTGTGCTTAAGCAGCTAGAGTCATATTTAGAAAAATTCATAATGACAGAATGTTCACATCCTAGAACGTTAGAATTATAAGAGGTCTTAAAGTCATCTGCCGCAAATCTCACACCTGACAGTGGACCCATCCACTCTTAGCTTGCTTATCTCCTACCATGGGGGGCTCGCTACTTTCCAAGGTTTCACCTTCTCATTGTTGGGGTCTGAGAATGAGAAAGCTCTTGTATGTAGTAGATGGAAATTTCCTTCCACGGCTCCCATATTCCACAGGAGGGTTAACCTCAAACCTCTAAGCCCACGCTCTTTTCCCCATTCCGATCCCATTTTAGAGACACCCCCTCTTACCATCAGTTGGCCTGTGCTCGGTTGGTGCTTAGGATAAAAGGAAAATTCATGAAGTGAACTGTGGAGCAGTCTTCCCCAGGGTGTGGCCCCGGGTCTCCTAGCCTGTGATACGCGCTGCCAGGAGACGGTTTGTGATCAAATACATTTAGGAACTGTCTCTTACTGCCGCATCCTCTTGAGGTCTTACAGAGAACACTGGAGAATATTAAAGGCTCTGAGAAGGCCTGTGATACAGAAACCTGCTTCACTTTAAACTTAATTGCTATGTCCCTCTAATGTTTGTTAACATTGTGGAGAATGAGGGCTCCATAGCATACATGTTGAGAAACACCAATTTTGCGTATAAGGAGCAAAGCAGACCTAATTTCTGGGTAGAACAATTCTGTAATACTATGCCCCAAAGATTAGAAGACCTCATTCTTTTTAAAAATTGACTTCAACTTTGTCCACTGTAAGCAGTACTTTTTTTTTTTTTTTTTTTTTTTGAGATGGCATCTCTCTCTGTTGCCAAGGCTGGAATGCAGTGGTGTGATCTCGGCTCACTGCAACCTCTGCCTCCCAGGTTCAGGCAATTCTCCTGCCTCAGCCTCCTGATAGCTGGGATTACAGGCGCCTACCACCACACCTGGCATTTTTTTTTGTATTTTTAGTAGAGATGGGGTTTCACCAGGTTGGCCAGGCTGATTTTGAACTCCTAACCTCCAGTGATCCGCCCACCTCAGCCTCCCAAAGTGCTGGAATTACAGGTGTGAGCCACTGCGCCCGGCCTGTAATCAGTTCTTTTGATGATAAACTTCCTTTAGAATATTTTTTTGAGTTGGGGTCTCACTCTGTCACCCAGGCTGGAGTTCGGTGGTGCAATCGTAGCTCACTCTAGCCTCAACTCCTGGCCTCAAGTGATCCTTCCACCTCAGTCTCCCGAGTCGCTAGGTCTATAGGTGTGTGCCACCGTGCCCAGCTAAGCTTTTTTCTTTTTGTAGAGATGAGGTCTCACTGTTTCCTAGGCTGCTTTCAAACTCCTGGCCTGATCCTCCTGCTTCAGCCTCCAGAGTAGCTGGGATTACAGGTGTGAGCCACGGCACCTAACTAAATTTCCCTTAGAATTTTATCTGAAAGGAAAGGAAATAGCCTCTTTGTTTACAAAGAAGGAAATTGCTTCTTCTTGGATAATAAAATCTATGGGAATTGTAACATTTTGGCCAGGTGTGGTAGCTCACACCTGTAATCCCAGCACTTTGGGAAACCAAGGTGGGCGGATCACTTGAAGCCAGGAGTTTGAGATCAGCCTGGCCAACGTGGTGAAACCCCACCTCTACTAAAAATACAGAAAATATATATATTAGCTAGGTATGATGGTTGCGCTCATAATCCCAGCTACTCAGGAGGCAGAGGCAGGAGAATCGCTTGAACCTGGGAAGCAGAGGTTGCAGTGAGCCGAGATCTCTCCACTGAGCGACAGAGTGGGACCTTGTATTTTAAAAAAAGAGAGAGAGAGAGAATTGTAGTTCTCCCTTTTTGTCTTGGTTGCTTAAGAGCTCAGAGGTCAATAGAACATTTGGTTTTTGCAATGTCATTACTGAGATTTTTGGACACTTTTCCCTCCTCCTCTGTCCTTCCTCATCCCTCCAGTTACATTGGACTCTTGGTTTTCCATGGTAGGGATCCATTTGTTGATTTATCGGTCACTATAGACTGCCTATTGTTTAGACATAGGCGGTACATGAAAATGCCGAGCTGAGCGGACTGAGCCGTGGACTGTGCTGGCCCCCACCACTGGCCCCAGCACTGACCATCATGTAATAGACATCCTCATAGAATATGCATCTGGAAATTCCCCAAGCAGCATGTCTATGTCTCGCTTGCTTTTGTTTTCTCCTGGAGAAGTCTGAGAAGGTGATACGCAGCTTTCATGCACCTCAAACCTCCACTCGTTGTCCAAGGGTCTGTGGCCAGCCAGGCAGCTCTGCCAGCGGCTGCCTGGGAGGAGAGGAGGCGTGAGCCCAGTTCTCCTGACCCAGCCTCAGCCGGGTTTGCAGGAATGAAGCTGCAGTTTCCTCGGCCCAAGGACCAGGCGGCTCTGCAGAGGAAGGCAGACTCCGTCAGGGACAGGCTGCTTGCAGACACAAGAAAGAAGACCAAGCAGGCGGAGAGGATGCTGGGAAACGCGGCCCCTCTTTCCTCCAGTGCCAAGAAGAAGGGCAGGGAAGCAGAAGTGTTGGCCAAGGACAATGCCAAGGTCAGGGCGGTGGCTGTGACATTAGCGGCCTCCTGCCTTCTGGAGGGACCACCCTTCTGCAGGCCCCTTCCCAACATCTGTGCTGATGTGCTGACTCCTCTGCACTTACTGCTCAGTGGGTCCAGGCACTTAGCTCAGGGACTCCGGGGGGGTGCACCTGTGGGTTCCTCATGAAATAGGTGTCATTGCTGTCCCATTGTACAGGTGAGGACACTGAGGCGCAGCCAGGCTCATGAACTTAACCAGGACTCACACCTGGGTCTGGCTTTTCTTCCTAAACTTCTAGGTTTTTCTTTTCTCTTTTGTTATCTTTAAGTTTGTATTTATTTATTTTACCTGTCTTTCTGTTTTTAATTTTTTTGTTTCTGTAATTTTTTTTTTTTT